ATATCAATAAAATATTGACTCAGAGTTTAAAAGAAAACAAGACGAACTTGTAGAAAAGGGAGTAAAAGGCATTGAGGTGGTGGCACAGTCTGGAGAATAAAAAGGCACACAACATATTTCATGTAATTTGCGTGGCTTTCCAGTGCAGCGCTTCGGCCTCAGCTTGTACCTGGCTTCTGAAAATGAAACCAGCTCAGAACACGGCACAGTGAGACAGGAAAATAATTTGTTGGAAGTTTCTGAGGGCGAGGTGGGAGAGCACGAATTCATGTGCTCTCATCTAGCCAAGTGCATTTTCTGAGGGACTCTATCAAAGTCATTACCTAGCAGTGAACCTGCCCAGAAAGAAACATGGGACAAACAAATGATTTTTTTTTTTTTGTTTTCCTCTTGATCTTTTTGCATGAATAAATTATAGAGGGTTTAGCTTAAAACTCTGCCAAATTATAATGAGTGCACTGCAAAAAATAAAATCTGTTTATTAACTGGTGTGAAAGGGCGGTATGACACTGACAGCACAGTTTCCAAAACCTGTCAGTGAGTTTTGGGTGTCTCTTTGCTGTTGAGGTGTCCTGCTTTTGGAAGTGTCGTGCATGATAATTGGGCTCATTTGAAGCCTCTGAAGTTGGGTATCTGAAAATGAAAGCACTCAAAATCCTATTCGCATGTAAAGGAACAAAGATGATAAAACTTGCCTTTTTCAGTAGCAGTTGACAACTTTGCAAGTTATTTCTTGTATGGGATGGGCCGGTGCTGCCTGCCCACACTGGGCAGGGATCACAGAACTAATCTTAATGTGTCTTTTGTAGTTCTTTTTAAACCAAAATGCTTTTACAATTACATAAAGAAATCAGAGACAAATCTGTACCTTATCACTACACCGCGGTTGTTAACGGGGACAGAAATGCTGTCTATGGGAGGTTTTTAATGAATTAGCTAGTGAAATTATTTAAGAAGTGAAACTTAGCCTGGGTAGTCCTATAATAAAAAGAATGTTTATTTGACTAGAGGTTACAATGCACTAGAACTGACCATGTGAATATACAAGATTGCAATTTCAAGGGGTTCATGTGGAGGACGCTGTCTGCAGAAAGTGTCAGAGTTTCTTACCTAACCAAATAATCTGCTGTAACTGTTGTGATTAAGTTGGAAAGAATTTCTTCCCTGTTGGCCAACGATAATAGTTGAAAAATCAATAAACAGTGTGTTAGAGCACACGAAACTCGTCCTGCTTTGTGGGAGGGGAGGTTTCTGCTGACTTGGGTGACTCAAGTCAGCAAGTATTTTGACTTACGATCTTTGCTCCAGAAGGTCAGATGTCATTAACTTTGCTGATAAGTATCAACGCTTCAGTCTGAATTTGAGGAAATATGTCTGTTGTCATCAAAAGCCAAGTCAGGAGCTGGCTGGGATAAATTTTGACAAATGCTGGGAAAGCTAAAGTAGGATTTAACTGTAAGTAGCAGTTGCATGTCTTAGGTAAAGCCCTTTACTCCTTTCCCTTCTGTAGGGCAGAGCACTGCAGTAACCTGTTGTTAAAACATCCCGAACGATAACAGAGCGCACAGTTGGAGAGCTGTGAGTGCTGGAGATGAAGCGTTGCAAGCCCTGCAGATGGGGAACCATGGCCCTGTGTTGTTGTCACCAGGTTCTCACTGAATAAATAAGGGCACAGTCTTCTCCAGCTGCAAAATAACTTGTGGTAGCCTCAGCACAGGTAGGGCTTCCCTGCAAGAAAGCAGGGCCAGTGGCCAGCGAGCTCACCGCAGGGCTTCCTGGCATGCTTGCTGCTTGCTGACAGTGGGCATGGGGCTTCTCCATGCCTGGCTGGGACATGACTGTGGGGGAAGCTCTGCCAGGTGAACATCAAGCATTCATTTTTATCTTTGCCGTTGTTTTCCACTCAGGAAGGGGAGGATCTGGCTGCAAATATAGGAATATGTGGTGAGCCAGGGAAGGAGAAAGCTCAGGAAGGCAGGGCAGCCCTTGTCATGAGGGAGGGCACGAGCGAAAGGAGGCAAAGATAGAATTGTGTCCTGGTGAGGGAGTTTTCAGAATACGTCACTAGTGCCTTACTGTTACTTTGGGGTTGTTACGTGTTTTCTCTTCCCTCTTGCATCACAGATTTCAGAGGGAAAGTGGAGAGATGAAGGACAGGGACTGAGCTGGGCA